AGTTTCTCAGAGGAAGCGACTTTATCCTAGAATAAACAAACTCCTCACTTAATGGATTTCCAGTTCAGGCATGGTTATTGTTATATTAACTGAAATTCCTTCTGGTCATTATGTGAAATGTTCAGATTATAACAGGATTTTCATTTAGAGAGAAGAAAAGTAAACGTACCTAAAAACCTTGCAACAACAAGCAAGTATTTTCAGTAACCAGTCTTTAGGTCATGCTTAGAATCCTCCTTCATTTTTATAGTACTGCTGAATAATGATACCCTCACCTCCGTCAGTACTGAGGTAACACACTCAGTTCTGGACAGAATTTTTATTGCTGTTCAAATATTCATTTCCCATCCCTTCCCTTTCCTCTTCCCCCCCTTGTCCTTCCTTCTCTTCTGTCCTTTACCCTTTCCTTCTCTTTCCTTTCTTCTCTACTTGCTCCCTCCAACCTGCTTCTTGTATTCTGTGTTCTCGAGGTAATGACAATCTCACATCTTTGACCTTGAGAATTAAATCCTTACAATATAAGCAAAGTAAAAAATATCTTTCCTTCTAGATATTAATTCGTTTTAATGAAGCTAATATCTATTAAGAGAACAAAAAATAACAATGGGAATAAATTATTCATCTGATAAAAACAGCTAGCTGCTTTTACACTTTTTCTTGTGTCAATATTTTCTATCTTAATCCTTTCTTACCTTCCTTCTACTTTACCTTCTTCATACAGAGTCCTAGTTTAACAGCAGAGTAAAAGTTTCACAGGACAACGTATGTCCCAGATGGAGTCAGGTCCTCAGGTGCCTATTATCATCCCTCTAATAGTAACTTCAGTAATGGTTCTTCATAGGCAATATAATTACACCTTTTCCAAAGTGTTCTGCAGCTCAAAGAGAAAAAAAACAAACCAAGCCTTATATTTTTCTCCCACACTAAGATTTGCTTACTTACAGGAACAAAAAGCTGGATGGCTTAAGGAATAGTGAATTCAGTGACTGTAACTGCTAGAAGCTAGAGGCTTGTTCAGTTGCAAATGGAAGGCACGTATTATATGAAAGCTCCCACAATTTTTGCTGATGCTGATGAACAAAATCAAAGCATAAGACACAGAAATTAAAATGTAGTAATAGAAGAAATAATATATCAAAGATTAGGAATCAATTCTTACTATCTGTTGTTCACTTCTTTCATTTGCCAGTGTACCATAAACTGTTTTCAAATGTATTTAGAAATTGACTCTTGTGAGGCTTTCACAGAAAGCGTTAGCAAAAATATCTGCTTTGTGAAAGTAATAATTTGGCTGCAGATTACAGTGGTTTCACTCAAGTGACTTGTCTTATTTTAACACCAGGGTGCTTTAGTTTGCCTGCTTAAAGTGAGGTCTTAAACAACAAGGTATCTCCACATAGGTAGACTTTGTGGCTGTCCCCGGTAGACTGCTTAGGCATCACACGAAATTTTTTGTTCAATTATTTCACAAAGCTGCCACTTGAAATCTACCAACAGGTGTAATCTGAATGAGCAGATGTAAAATCACAGAAGAAAATATTTTATACAGTCAAAGCACATAGGCGTGTGGGTTTTGGAGGATACTAGTGATGTGCCATGGGTCAGAGGCAAATCAAATTACAAGCAGTTACAGAGCAGCAAGGTAAAAGTTAGGCTCAGCAGGGAATCTGAGAGGTGGTATATGAAGGAAAGCAGAAAATCAGCAAGTGTTTCAGACTTGAAAGTGCATTTGTAACATAAACAGAGATTAAGTCCATGTGTGAGGCAGTAACAATGTGAGTGCATGTTGTTAGCACCGGCAGCAAATGTTTTTCTTACATATCTTTGGAAAATTAGATATTCACAAATGTCATTGATGAAGATGTTGAAGAACACTGGTCCCAAGACCGACCTCTGAGGGGCATTGCTTGTGACTGGCCTCCACCCTGATACAGAACCACTGATCACAACTGGCTGTGGCCAGCCAAACAATTCTTTACCCATTGAACAGTTCATCCTTCAAATCCATACCTCAGAAGGAGGCTACCTAGCCTTTGGCAACCTCTCCTGCACAGGTGGACTTTCACCAACATCCAGGTCCAGAGCTTCATACCTGTTATGTAAGGGCACCTGGGAAGGCAGACAGGCTGAGGGGCAGCCTGCTTGTTGCTCCCAAGAGGGACTTGTTTCCATCCCTCGCTATCTTTGAGGTCGCCCCTTCCCACCTGACTGTGAGACAGCAGACGACCCCCTCTGCTTGAGGAGCTTCTCACCCACGCCCTTCCTGTAGAGATGGCAAAGTGCAACCCCACAAATCGATCCCCTTCCCACAAACCCGGATGCTCCTCAGCCTTTCTACTTCCTCCTTTAGCTGTAGCACTAGGCTGAGCAGATCATCCACCTGCTCACACTACAAACAGCTGGTTTGTACATCCCGGCTGCCCTCCTGCAGCAGTGACGGAGTCAGGCATTCTCTGCAGCCTGAGACCTGAAATGTGGCACGGACATTCGCGCTTTCAAACTGAGTTTCCACGTCTCTTTTAACAGCAGCTCGCAGACTTGTGGTGACCATGGTTGCACCTCAATGCATCCAGAGAGCAACGACCCTTTAATTGACTTGTTAAGTGCTAAGTCCTCCTTTATATGGCAACGTGCCCTACCTGCTTGCTGATCCGTTCGGAGTTCGCCCTGAAAATCACTCACTTCAGAGAGATGACAACCCTCCCCCCTGTCTAGTCGCGCCAATCAGTGACATTTCTCCTTATCTGAACAGCCAACGTGATTCACAGCCCGACTCCGCCTCCCCGTCCCTGAGGCTTTTTCTAGGAAGAGCGCGTGAATGCCGAGCAGTTGCCCTGGCAATGCCCACTTCACGTCCGCCGCTCTCTCGCGAGAGCTGCCGTACTGCTCCGGCGCCCGGGGTTCCGCGAATGAAGGAATCGATCGATACCTCCCTGTACCTCGCGGGCAGTCGCTGCCCAGTTTTGGCCGGGGAGTCTCCTAAGTGGCTAATTTCAGAGGTCAAGCAGTCACCCCTGAATGACTTTAAAAACCGTTTGGCTCTGTTGCTCACAGACACAGAATCACAGAATCACAGAATCACAGAATCACAGAATCACAGAATTGTAGGGGTTGGAAGGGACCTCCAGAGATCATCGAGTCCAACCCCCTTGCCAAAGCAGGTTCCCTACAGCAGGTCGCACAGGTAGGCATCCAGGCAGGTCTGGAACATCTCCAGAGAAGGAGACTCCACCACCTCCTTGGGGTCCCTGTCGATTTAGTGCAGGGCTGTCAGAATTAGGGTAGTATGGTTAGATTGTGGTTGGACTTCATCTTGAAGGTCTTTTCCAACCTGAGCATTTTTGTGATTCTAATAGACTGCAGTGATTGTTCTGTTTACGGCCAACAGATAGTGTTTTAATCACAGACAGAATCCCTAGCAGCTGCTAACAAAGTTCATCAAGTTACACCACAGGAAAATCATGTCGTTTGCTCCAAAAGTAACACCTCCTATTTATTTCCATGCAGACAACAGATGCGAAGAGCAGAAGGACACTATGCAGGGCGGAAGCGTCAGCGCAGCACCTTCGGGGCCTCGCTGGGCTCCCCCGCCCATGCTGGGCCAAGATGTGGGGGGCCTGTGAGGTGAGCGGGTCCCCACAGCCCTTTGTGAGACGTCAGCTCGTCACAATGGGGCTCAGCTCTTAGTCCCTCTCCCCAGCGTCCCCCGGCCACATTTCCCAGCGAGGCCTGGGAGGTGCCAGGGCTGTTCTTGCCAGTGCTGCTCTGCTCTGCTGGAGCTGCTCTGACGGCAGGAGAAGGCCAGGGGAACCTGTGAGAGAGTGTGGGACGCTGCTTGCCAGGGGACAAGGAGCAGGAGCAAGGGAGTGAGCACCGCTTCTCCAACTGCTGCACAGCATGGCGACTGAGGTGCTTTCTTACGTGCTCTTCAATCCCTTGGATCCCAAGGAGCTTACCTTACTGAGGGACCTCACCACTGCAGGTAAGGCTTGGGGGCCCTTGGAGCAACGCTGCGGTAGCAAAGATGGAGGGGAGATGAGGTGTGGAAAGCTGGGGCGGGCAGCTGGAGGAAGGTCACCAGGAGGGGCCTGGTGTCTGCAAGGAGAGCCCTGCCGGCTGGTGCCTGCTGGCTCAGGGATTGCTTTGGCAGCCCAGACGCGCTGCTGGTGCCAGGACCCCCTTCCCCAAAGCGCATCCCTTCCCTCTCCAGACCGGCCCCGGGCGCACTGTGCGCTTCCCGCTGCTGGGCACGGTCAAGAGCTGTGCTGGAAGCTGCAGCAGCACGAGTGCTCGTTGAGGGCAAGGAGAGCTTGGTCGCACCCTGCTCTCTCCTCCGTTGGGGGAAAGGGTTTCAGAATGGTTGGGCGTTGCCAACTCTGAGCGTGACGGGTCTTTCTTTTGCTTTCCAGAAATCTGCAGAGTGTGGGATGCCACATCCGAGTACATTCGGAAAGAGCTGATGGAGAAGAGGGTGAGCCTTACGTCCTGCTCATGGCCCAGCTTGCCCCTTTGTGCCTGAGCGGCAGGCAGGCCACACAACACCATGCCCAGGGCCAGCAGGGCACCCAGCACCTTTCCCACCTCTGCCCAGCACTGCCATGTCTCCCTCTTCTTGTTTGATGTTTCAGGCGGTGGATATTGGAATTGGCAGCTTTGCAGTTGTGCCAGCTCATGCTGCCGCCGGGGAGGATGGGGTTCTGGATGTGGACAGACCCATTTTCCAGCTGAACAAGCACATCCAGAAGTTTTACAAGCTCAAGAAGCCTAAGACCAAAATTCCTTGTAAGAAGAATTTTGCTTTGCTTTACTCCACTGCACAGCCCCAGCATTTCCCTGTGACATGGCAAGAACAAAGTTTCTTGCAACCTGGAGAGTGCTGGGGGAGGGTGCACACGGAGCGTCCCAGCACCCTGGCCCTCCCCCGGGCACCAGCCCGATCTGCCCAGCTCTCTCCAGCTCATAGCTGCACGCTGGGAGCTGGTGGCAAAGCTTACCTGCCTTTCCTGCAGGGAGTGAGTGACGTGGTTGGTGTGTGTTTGTTTTGCAGTCGAGATATTCGAGCGCCCGTTGAACTTCCAGGAGATTGCTGAAAGCATTTGCTTCCGTGTGCCCATCGTAGAGCAGTGCATCTATGAGACCCTGCTCTTCTTTGCTGAGGCCCTCCGAGGAAAGAAGGAAGTTGACTTCTTCTTCAAAACACTTGGCATTCTTTCTCTGAGAGGGCAGGAGGTCATCATGAACTTCTTTGATGACTGCGTACTGCAGGTGGATGCAACGGGCAACATGCTGCCCGTTCTTCTTGGGGTGAGCTTGCACGCCTCCGGGGCTCCCTGCAGCACTCCCAAGGTTTGTCACTCTTGGGAGCAACAGACGTGTCTGTGGCCTCTGCTCACTTGTGTCTATCCCGATGCAGGACTCTGAGATGATGAATATGATTGCGTTTAGTGGCAAAAACTACTTTACTCGATCCAGTGAGGACGGCTGTGTCATACTGCCAAGGTGAGCACAACCACTCCTGCAGCAGCCAGCCGGCCAAGGGAGCAGCTGCCCAGCTCATGCTTTGTGGCAGCTTCTTGCTGAGGCCTCTCTCCTGGCAAGGTTGTTAGGCAGGAGCAGCCCTTCTCTGGGAAAGCTCCATTCAGCCCATGGCTCGGTCCACCCAGACAGTGCAGTCCAATGGCCAGTGCGTGGGCCATAGGCCCTGAGTGAGAGAGGTGGGAGGAGGGTGTGGGGACAGCGAGGAGTCCCCCTGTTCAGGGCTGGCACAAAGGCGACAGAAGCTCAGGGGCAGAAGTTGCTGGAGACTGGAGAGCCCCTCAGTTCCCACAGAGAGTCCTTGGGGCTCGGCACTGGTTCCCAACGAGCCATGCCAGCAGGTTCTCTATGTCCTGCACTGAGGAAGCTTGGTGCCCTTTTATCCCACTGGTGTCTTCTTGTTTCCAGAATTCAAGTTGAGGGCTCAACGACATGCCAAGATACAGTTTTCATGAAGCCCCGAAGACAGTCACAGCCATGGAACGAGGGTGCCCGCAGAGGTATGTGAATGTGTCTGAACTGGATGAGGAAACCTCTTCCCTGCTGGGGAATTCACCCCCGGCCTGTAAGCTCCAGCAAGCCCTGGAATTTCTGAGCACCTCCCTGTGTGTCCCTGCTATTGGGAAAGGGGAGAGAGAGAGCAGGACGGGCTCAGGAGGAATGCAGATCTGGGCTTAGTCCAGTGACCAACAGGGGCAAAGAGCCCCTGGAATAGTGGCTCTGTTCATGAGGTGGCAATGAGTGTGGGTGAGCGGGACCAAGCAGCTCTGCCACTGCTGTTTACATGCACAGTCACAAAGATGATGTGATGTTCTCTTGCTTCCCCACGTGCAGTGAGCGTGTATGATCCGGTGATGCTGGCTCGGCAAAGGGCATCAAAAGTTGTGGTGTTAGAGAAAAGACGCAAGGAGCAGGAGAAGAAACAGCAAAGGGTTAAATTCAGGTGAGCCTCCTGGAGAAGTGCAGAGGCAGGCGGTGGGGGACACACCACGCTCTGGTTTGTTGTGTCAGGGAGGTGTTTCCCTCAGCCGTGGTGCCCTTGCCAAAAGGCCCTGGAAATGGCAAAGTGACCACAGCACAGTCGCTTGTGCTGCTGGAGCAGAGTTGTGGGCTGGGAGCCCCGTGGTGAGAAACTGCTTCAGCCTGTGCTTCCGCCAGCTCAGCCGGCTGTCTCTCTTTAGGTTCCTGCCACAACTTGAAGAGACATATGCTGAAGTGCTACAAAAGGCTGCACATCAGGCAAAGCCCGCTGCCAGCACCCAGCAGACCTCCAGAATGGTACGCCAGATACATTGATCTGCTACCCTTGAATCCCCCTGAGGCCCCAGAGGAGGGCAGGCATGGCAGCAGCAGCTGCCCTCCCAGGGGTCCCTGCCCAAGCCCCAGGAGGCTGACGCTGCCGATGGTTGTGTTTCCCTGACCTGCAGGCAGCGCGCTTGAAGCACGCTCAGACTGAGGCGAGACGGCTCCAGGTGCTGATGGCCTCCAAGCGCAAGGAGGTCGAAGCTGACATCCAGAGCGAATATGAGCAGTACACACAGAGGCTGAGCACGGAGAGGAGCCAGGTACAGTGCGCACTGACCGCCCTCAGGGAAAGGGCATTTCCCCCTGCTCCTCGGGAGGGGAGCAGCTCAAGGCTCCTGGACAAGGCAGCGTGGCTGTGGCCACCTGGCAAGGAAGCATCTTCTGTCTGCCCGCTGCCCTGCAAGTTGCCGTGCAGCCAAGAGCACAGGGCAAAGGCAGCAGCTGGCTGGGCACAGGCACGTGAAGACTAAACCAGGCCTGTGTGAGGCACCTGCCTCAGCTGAGGCAGTGGGGCCCTCTCACCCGCCTCGGGCAGAGAAGCCGGTGCCAGCCCTTGGCTTCAGGGAGTGAGGGCACAGTCTGTTTTGCAGACAGAGAGACCTCTGCTCTTCAGTGCCATTTCCTGCACGACCAAATCATGAGGGGCAGCCCCAGCTGTTCCTTAGGACAACTGTTCCTTAGGACAATCTCTTTTGCCTTTGCAGAACCCTTTCCACCGCCTGCTGGAGGGTGACCCTCGTCCTGCCTACATTGTGAGACGGGACTATGACCAGCAGCTGGGAGAGAGGCTGAAGGGGAAGGACAGGTGCCAAAGCCCTGCAGGGCAGACAGCACCAGAGGGGTGGCAGAACAAGCCCCAGCTCCCGCGGACATCACGGGAACAGTAAGTGCGTGCCGGCTCCTGCAGAGGCCCGGGGGCAGCGTCAGGAGGCCCTGAGCCCCAGACCTGTTGTCCGGGCTTCCCTGGGCTGCGGGGCTGGGCCTCCTCCTGCCCGCCTTTCCCCCGGCTGGTGGGCGCTCTCGGTGCAGATGGGCCTGGGCACGAGGGCCCCTGGGCATCACACGGAGCAGGGTGTGTCCTGGGCAGCACATCCCCAGACTACAGGCCCCAGAGAAGCCCTGCAGCATTTCTGTCCCTCCCTCCCCAGCCCAGAGCCTGACGTCTTTCTTCTTGGTTCCTACAGGAAAGGAGAGAAGACCAGGCTCTTGGACCGCCGTGGGAAGGCCCAGGGCCTGTGAGGCGGCTTCCAGCTGCCGTGGCCGTAGCCATCACGGCCTACACCAAAACGCTGCTTCAGGCGCCAGCAACACCCAGGCGCACTCAGGCAGAAGCTCCCACCGCTGCACACTGCCATCTTGTAGGGGAGAGCTGGGGGAGAGCTGTCAGCAGCGGGACACCTTTCCAAAAATAATGTAACATCTTCCAGCAAATAAAGACAAATTAACATCTTCCTTACATGTGATTAACATGTAAAATTAACATGTTTGTCTTACATGATTGCTTTGCGCGCGCAAATTGCATTGCTTCAGCAGTTGCTTCAGAGTCTCATCAAAGCGGCATTCTTCCTAGGGAAGGTTGTTATTCCCAGATAAGCGGGACATCTGAAGCCTAAAAGCAGAGTCACAACATTCCATGGGCTGTGGGACTTGCACTGAACTCTGCTAGGCTTGATAATGGTGGCCCTGTAAAACAAGTGATCACTAGAAACTAGTCAGCTGACAATGTTTTGTTAAAATGTTCTGGACCTGACCTTCTCAGCACACAAACTTTTGGCTGGATAGCACCTCCCAGTGGAACCCCACGGCCACCAAACAGCCCCTGCAAGAACCCCATATTGTCACTTATTCATGAAAAGTATGAGATTTTAATACTTGTAGTTCTCAAAAGCAGGTGGGCCCTTTCTGGAAATTCTGTGAACATTCACACGAGTTGAATACACATAATCTGTATGCTTTAGTTCCTGGATATGCATAAATCCCCCATGCATCCGGCGCTGTTAAGAAAAGCACCTATTCTCAAGCTGTATCATCCTGATCCCAAGGCACAGCTCTCACATAGCTCCCTTTACTCATATGTGAGGTTTTGCTTCCCATGGAAAACCTACATCTTGGCCCTAGTGGGCCCTAACTGCTGGGGAGAACTCTGTAGGCATTAGGAGCTGTTCAGAAATCTCAGTCTGCAATCAATATTTTATTGTATTTGAAGATGAAAACTGAATGCTAGATATTCTGTAGCGTAGAAAGGGAAATAGAGAACATATACATATGTTCTATATATGTATGTACTGTATGTACATATGAAGTGGAAAAATCTAAGTCAAAGTAAAGGCAGCTTGGAAGACTGAAAACCTAAATGTTTTTGGTTTGTTGTTTTGGTTTTGGTTTTGGTTTTGGTTTTGGTTTTTTTCCTTTCCTATGCTCATTCACTGATTAAATCTCTCTGAAAACTTCCATTTTTCTCAGAGCTTCTCTTGGGCACTGTTATGCATTATTATGAGTGGTATGTTAGAAAGAATGAGAATTGCTACCGACAGTGACAGCAGCATCACTCAGTAGCATAGCTGTAACTCCACCATATGCAGAGACCTCTTTCTCTCACCCAGTGCACTGAGACCCAATATTTTCATTTGGAACAGCAGACAGAGCTCACATCTTCAAAAGGAAAAAAAAAGAAAAAGAGAGGGTAAGGCAATAGTTTGGAGCAGCTCAGTGAGAGCTCAGTGTGAAAACCTTCACTGAGTGAGGCAGGCAGACATTGGAGGAGGCATTTGATTGCCTTGAGGTCTGGTGCACCACACCTATGAAGAAAGATTGAGGGAGCTGGCCCTTGTTCAGCCTGAAGAGAAGGCTTGAAGAAGACAGCATTACAGCCTACTAGTACTTAAAGGGAGATTATCAACAGGAGGGAGGCCAACTTTTTACATGATCTATAGTGATAGGACAAGGCAGAATGGCTTTAACCTAATAGAGGGAGACTTAGATTAGACTTTAGGAGGAAATTCTCTATTCAAGGAGCAGTGAGGCCCTGGCACAGCTTCCCAGCAAGCTGTGGGTGCTCCATCCCTGGAAATGCTCCAGGTCAGGTTGGAAGGGGCCCCAGGCAGCCTCATCTGGGGGGTTGCAGTCAGCCTATGGTAGGAGGTTGGGACTGAGTGGGTTTTGAGGTCCCTTCCATCCCAAAATATTCTGTGATTCTACAACACTTTCATTAGCCATGGACTCTGCAATGAATGCACACTGGAGATCCAATTCCCAAACCTATTTTTCATCATTGCCAGCCAGAGATTCACCATTATGTTTGAAGTCAGAACTTAACAATTCAGAAACAAGGATTCAATAGCCTGTTGCATAAAAAGAAGATTAAATGCTTTTCCTTGCTATAAGAAATATTGTTTTCATTTGTGATTGTCAGTAGGAAAACTTAAGAGGTTATACTCTTCAATGATTTAAACTATGTAAACACATTGACTCCTGTGAAATTGCACTTAGTGTAAATGCCAGATGTATATTTTAAGCTGATTTTAGCTCACATTAGAGTGATCCAGCAGGAAACCACCTGCAGTTTGCATTAATGTCCCTGGCCCTCTCTAAGCTGATTTAGCAATTCACATATATAATTTGCATGCACTTGGAGAAAAAAAAAGTTTGCTTAATGATGTATACAAGCACACAAACAAAGGAATAGCTACAAAATAAATGGCCTGTGTAAGACTTAAAACCTTGCAAAGAGTCAAAACATGATGGATACTGTGATCGCAGCATGATATCAGCTAAGTGCAATGAGCGTAGAGCACATACAATGCATCATTAGAAATTCAAGTCAGTGCATGCAGGGTAATTTTCCCATTTACACTGCACCTAATGCATCTGTAGAGGGTAATTAAATACATATGTAGGGCTTACTGGGTTTTTGCTTTTTACTTATTTTTATATTTTATCAGCAAGTTCATTGCTGCTTTAGGGAGGATCAATCAAGGAGAGTTTTAGCTGATGGGTGTTGTCGACAGTGTTGCACTGATTGATTTTATTTTTGGTCTTACAGCTCTATAATGTATTTCAAGGTGTTTCATTTATGTTTCTATGCATTTGATCTTGTTAGTGATTTAGCTGAGGAATGGGAGTATCAGGTTACTGAAGTTCAGTATTAGCACATCTTTCTGCCAATCTGTGGGAACAAAACAAAACAACATAACAAAAGAAAAGGAGGAATGGTAGCTCACTGCAAGGTATACTTTGAAAGAAGAAAACAGAGCTAATATGTGGCTAGTTTGTTATTTCTTAATATTTTGGAATTGCCATCCAATAAACATTCAGCCTAAAGTCAGTGCTCCATAGGCTGGTGCCATTTATCAGGGAAAGCTTTTGTGTGCTTCGTAAGTGCTGGCAGAATTATACTATGTGTAAAGGTGTAAGCTACAAGAAAAGTGATAATGTGAAATGCTACTATATTTTGATTTACAATTCCTTTATGTTCCATTATACAGTCATCCATGTATGATGAGAAAAACTGGCGAACAACTGAGTATGCTAGTACTGTAGAATACATTCAGTAAATTTTAAGAAAAGGCTTAATTAAAATTCAGTGATAATCTGTGTTTAAATGGAATTTATTCTTTCAAAGAAGCTATATTTTAAATTGTCAACTTCAAGACGATGTTCAAATAGTACTGAGATAAATATATTTTACTACCAGCAAAAGCTGTGTATCATATATATTTATACCTTCACTCATCTTCCCTTGGCTGCTTCCCTAATAGGTAATTGACAAATAATGAAGGTTTATGCTGGGCTATTTGATATTATTTTCTTACTATTCTTTAAGTGAGACACTAGACTAAGATTTCTGCACGCATATGAGTCATCTACAGCTTTATTGAGGCCTACTGAAAGAAAAGCAGTGAGAGTTCTGTTAAAGTTATTTGTTAATCAGTATTGACTACATGTTGACTTCTTTTTTTTAAAGATTTTGCCTTCTCTCCCTCTACTTGCTTCTTGTTTTGTTTGTGAAAAGAAGTATATATTTTTGCCAAGTTCTTTAGAAAATTAAAGCTGCACACCTGCCCTCTATCCTACTCAGGTTAGCTTCACATCAGTTTTCCTGATTCTTTAAGGCTTCTTTTTTTGTGTGTGTGCGTGTCATTAACTGGCAAATTGCTACCAGTGTAAAAGTTGCCATAAAGCACACTTAAGATAAAGCTCACTGTAGTCTGTCTCTAGGTTGACTGGTTGCTTACAAATGCAGCCTTTAGTCTTTCTTGTTCAACAGAAAAGCACCTTAAATGTAAAATAAAGGATGTGAGAAAGCAAGGAGAGGACTTGTCTTTCTGATTGCAGCCACGACCAGCACCACTGGTAGAGCACTGATGAGAGGGAAATCTGTGCTCACTATGGTGGAGACTACAATAAGAAAGGAAAGAAGAAAACATGAATTTCTTAGATAAAATACAGAAAAGACAGTAAGTTAGACCTT